AAAGATTAATCAAATTGCAAACCTAAGAGTCAGAAGGCATGTTTAGTTTCATTTCTCCCCACCACAATTAATTTAACTGAGTTCACTTTGGCATGCTAAAGAGACACACATTAATTACAACTACAATATCAATATTTGTTGATTACTATAAATTCACAAAAGGGGAGGGGCATCCAATTTCACTCAGAGGGCAAGAAGCAGTCAGAGGGAATTAGTGGAACCAAGCAGCAGTGTTAGTCCAACATATCCTGGTGATAATAAGGGATATAACATCACTACCCCCATCTAAAAAATTCAACAGCCTCCACACATAATTAAATTATGGGGCACACATAGATTAATTTCAGCTGTAGAAATAATACCAGTACAGGCAGTATTCCTCCCTGGAAACAGAAAGAATACATGCTGACAGAGTACTGCTATTATCTGCATGAACCATCACAGATTTGGAGAAAGCTGTGATGATATCACTAAAATTTAAAAAGTGAGGCAAAAAAAAATTTAGTCAAATACTGAATGTGATAAAAAGGCAGGTTTATATCAAACATTTATCTGCTTCTTAGAGAGAGAGAGAATATGAGAACTCCCCAGGTCTGCCTTACAGGTTCAGTGAAGGACAGTGTTTCACCTACACATTTTCAGATGTGGTTTGTATTCTATAATTTTAATGTGTAAATAGGAATCAATGAATGGCACGTGAGAATAATCTGCCTGTATATGATCACCAAAGCAACAACAGATGTTAAAACTGACATCATGGCAGTGCATATTTGAGATAGAAATCCACAATGGGTGTAAAAAGCCTTTGAAAACGTCCATCAATTAATCACCCAGTGCTTTAAGGCAGTAACAACAGGTGACAATTCCTAAGTAGACACTTCATTAAACTGATGTGAATCTCCAATTTAGATTGTACTTAAGTCTTTATAGATCTACTAGAATTAGTGATTACTTTTTCTAAAGAGCTGACCAATGCAAAGTTTGAACTTTCACTTACTGCCTCTGGAGTCACCAACTTGCTAACAGATCAGCACAGTAAATTCAGATAATGGACTTGCACTACAGCAGCCAGGTACTAGAGTCTGACGTGCGATCGATCCTCTCTTCCCTCTCGTGTTCCTCCTGCACAGCAACCCCAGCTCCAGCCTGCTCTCTTAACTGTCACCCCCCATTAGATGATAAACTTCACATACTGGAAGAGAGCTGGGGGTGGAAGGCTAGCAAGAGCAGTGGCTCCTTCAGTCCTGCTCACTGGGACTTCCTGCAGCAAGTACACAGAGCCCTGGTTCAGGAGACTGCAGCACTGCCCTTCCAAAAAAAAAATAAAATAAAAAAATGAGCTGGAAGCCACATGAGACAAGGTGCCCTGAAGGATTTTCTTACCTAACACACAAAAGCAGTCAACCCATATAATCATCCTAGGCTACTAAACATACCTGTCCTTATGAACAACTACCTCAAGATTATTTTTTTCATTACATTAGCCACATTAAGCACTACCTCCTACCACCTTAACCTTTTCATCATGCTTTCACCACTGTTTTGTTTAGAATTTTAGGAATCACTTAACTTTTGAATCTGAAGATGTAAGTGCATGTAAAAGTAAACTTGTGGAAGCCTTCCCCAGCTCAGGATCTTAAAATTATGAATTCCATGCAGTGGCTGAGTTTCATGTCCATTGAGTGTCATGAATACCCATCCCTCTATAAATAACTGGCCTGAAATCCTTTAGAGCTGATGGAAGTGTTCAATTTGTAGGGGAAAAAACTGTGTTGCTAAGGAACTACGAAGAAAACAAGGCCAAAGTGGTAATATGAAATTAAATGAAATTAATTAATTTAATTGGACCTTGATATGTTGGGTATTTGGCATATTATCAGCAATTTAGCAGGCTGTAGGCTTTGTTTCAAACTGAGGCTGAAATAATAGTCAGAACATGATTGCACCCTTAATTTAGGGATTAGCTGCATTCACTCTTCTTCATACAACAGACCCTGTCCACTTTTGTTTATTTCAGACAAAATTCTAAAAGCAAACCATGTGAATATCTGTTTGAACTACAGCTATGCCTTCAGACTACATTTTTTTAGATGAAGACAAAGGGTAAGGATTTTCTTCACATTTATTCTCACTAGCAGACCAACAGATGTGCTTTGCCAGTAAGTACTGGCTTTCATGCTTTGCTGATTTTGGCAGAGATCTCAGCAATGCACAGAACCAAATACTATTTCATGGACTTTTGTTTTGCAACCTTTTCATTTCAAGAAAATATTTTCAACTGTTTATAATCATTAAAAAAAAAAAAAAAGACTCCATGCGGTAGAAGATTTTTCAAGCACTTTCTCAGCTGAGAATTTCAGTTGTTTTAAAGAACATTTCCTTTTCTTTATTCTTTTGAGACAAATCTTTCTCTAGTGAAGCTTTCTTCTTCTTTTATGTTTTTCCTTCAATTTACTTAAATAGAAGACAGTTACAGCTGCAGAGACTACAATTCTGGCATGTTTATCGACACCTGTACGATTTGTTACACATCTTCCAACATTTCACCTTAAGTATCACAAATGCCTGGTATTTAACATTCCCAGACTCAAAATTCCAGAACTCCAATTGTTCAAGTTGTACTTTAACTCATAAGATGCCAGGTATCAAACTGACAACCTCACTTTCTTCCTTTCTTACTGAGATTTTAGGGGCTATATTGCTGAATGCTGTCTGACTGATGACTAGACTTTGTTACATGAAGGTATCGCATAAAATAACAATATCAAATAACAATATATAACAATAACAAAACTATCATACTTTTATGCAACAACCAGGCTTTCATGAGTGGTTTACAAGGAACTGGCTTACTAAGCAAAATGATGTGTGTGATCCACCTATCTTCTCGCCCGCCATTACCTCCTTATATCCTTAACTGTGCGTTCCTAGATCTTAATTTGATTGAGTCTTACTGGTTGAATTTATTGGTTTTGTAGTGTCTAGATGATCAACTATCAACTCCCTCAAAATTCTCTTTGTTTTAATGTAGAATCACAAAACACACTAGTTACACTGTAACTATATTCTATCATTTTTTCCCCCATGAACACCTATTTGTACTGGAGCATGAAAACTTGCTAGATGAACACCATACAAGAAATGTTGCCCTTAATACAATGAGCTTTACACACACATGCTAACTTCAGATTCCAGTCTATAGAACTTTTATCTGGACTACTGAAATAAATTTTCCAGACCTGTAAACCTTTCCAAACACTATTTCAGACAGTTATTGGATAAAAACATGAAAAACATATTCCATGTCTTTTGAGAAACACAGGTAGAACAGGTTAGAATTGCAGCAAAAGGTACAGCAATAAACTTCTCAGTGTGCCTCTGCGTGGCCATAAGAGATAACATTATATTACCATAGTTCTTTCATCTCTTTTTGGAAAATGCAAAACTTAAGACCTTCAGAGAAAATAACATAGGTGCTGCCCCATTTCCTGAATTCACATTGCTGCTACACTGCACTCATCACTTTTATAACAGAAATCAAGGACACAAAAAATAATCTGCTGCCACACAAGAAAAAGTAAAAAGTTCTCCATAAGTGTGTTTTCCTAAAGTCTCAAGGCACCCTTCACAACACCGGAGGGCACCCCCACCCGCACAGTGCACCAAGCACTGCCTCTTGTGCTCCCTCTTCTGTGCAGCAAACTGCAGTGTAGCAAGAGGGGTCCCTCTTCTCAAAATACTGGCAACAATGTTGTTCAGAGGTGACTCTTCTCTTTGAACTGTTTTCCATATCTGTAAGTGTTTTCCTTCTGAAGACACTCTATCTATACCGTAGCTTTCCAGACTCTCACTTTACTGCTTTGCTGTCCCCTAGAAAGATTCTGGAAAGCCAGGCAGCCTACAGTCTAGGGGAGCACATATACATGACCATGAAGACCACAAGGTCTTAGATGTTACCAGATATAAGCAGGTAGCATTCCTGACATACAATGTCCTTTGCCAAAAAATTAGACAATTGTGTGAGCTGGTCACTTTGAACCAGACTGACCAGTAATTAATGTCTGATGAGATAAAGATGATTTAGAACAAACTCACAACCATCTATAGAGGCCTTGGCCACACTAACCCACTGCACTGATCAATTTAAATTCAGCCTATGTTATCTGTTGTGATAAGATCAGGAACAGTTTATTTGCAACAAACAAGATATAAACATGGAAAAAACCCCATCTTCTCACTCTATGCTCCAGAGCAACTGTCTACACAGTAAAATGTACATGTGGTCTTAAATGCAAGGAATGGATTTTAAAAGCAGTATTACCAAACATTACTAGACTGTGTTTTTGTGGGGGTTTTTGCCTTTTTTTTTTGATTGTGCATATATATATATTGGAGCTAAAGCAGGCAAACAGCTATCCTTAGCTTACTTCAGAACAGGCTTTCTATGTGCTAGCATCTTTTTATTGACAGGAACACAACAACATACCCCACTGTTCTCTCTAGGAGGCTACAAGGTCATTAGTTACCCCAGGAGCAGTAGCTGCCATTGGAGAACTTGATGTTCTTAAAAAGTACTATTTGCTCTACACAAGGCCAGCATACCCAGCGTTCACAGCAAACGTGTTTGCCTGCACTGTAGAACCACCCATGCTACAGTCTGGAAGCACAAAACTCAGAAGCAGAGAGATCAAAGACATTTGCTTACTTGCACTCCTCCACACTGGTCTCTCCTATACTGGAAATAGAAATCAGGGAATTCAGGCAGGGATGGGAGTTTGAGAATGAGAAGGAACCCAAACCACCCGCACACAGAAAGTTCAGAGAAGGGAAAGAAAACAGGTTCCAGGTACTGGCCCCTTTAAGTCTTTTTAAAGCTGGAGTAAGGCATTTACGTGCAAAGGTACTGAGATATCACACATTACACACTAGTGATAAACATGGCTGCTGTCACAGAACGTTACTTATAGACAAATAAAGTGGAAGGACACAAACACGCTCACCGTGCACACAGAGGTTTCATCCCCAGTCTTTACTCTGTTCTGAGCCAAAAGCTGCTCCAGGAGGCTGAGTCTGTGCAGCAGCCAGGAGAATGCCAGCAGCAGCTCCCGACTACCCGCTGAGCCGTCAGAGGGGAGCTGGTAGAGTTCTGGCCTGTCATAGCCATGGTACCACAACGCTGATTTTACAAACCTAATTTGGTTATCTGAAAAGAAGAAAACAATTGAGAATAACACACTGCACTACTCAATGCATTTACCCACTCAGTTCCAGAAACTGCTGCCTCTTCTGAGAGCAAGATTTTTAATCAAGCCTAAGATTAGGGGAAGACAGTGAAGACTAGAGTCTTTATCAACAACTGATAAAGCACAGGAGGCAAAGAGTAAAAGACTCCTTTATGCTGTCCCATTCTGATTTACAGGAACTACTGCTAAAGGAAAAGAAGAAATTCAAAGTTGAGATCAAGGCCAGTAATGGCCTCTTGGAGGTTAACAAAGGCAAAAGAGGTAAATAGCCATCCCTACTGTAAGAGGACTCCAATTCACCTATTCATTTTTTATGAGCCACCAAGCATGCTATGAATTAGTAAGCACTCTGAGTCTCTTTACTCCTGAATGAAACTGGAATTCAGAGATAGGTGTTTCACAGCCTGCTGCAAATCTCTGAGCACCAGTGAGCAAGCAGAGATAATGCAGTACACCACACTGCATACCAGACCACATGGACTATCTAATTCTCAGGAATTCTCTGATCTGTATCCCTTCACGCCAGCAAATGTTACCTGACAGCTGCAAGACAGGCGCTACAGAACTGTAAAATACTAAGGTAACACAGAGAAAATAATTATTAAAAAAGGTTCTGACCAGTAAGCTTCAGCTCTGTACTAAGTCAGAACTATAATAATGAACATATTTAGGAGGCATAATGATAAACAACACGTGCTGGGGAAGAACCAACAGTTGTTGTAAAAGGAAGTCCTGCTCAAACAGCTACTGGAGTTCTCCAAAGGCAATGACAAGCAAGGGATTAAGGAAGACTCAACCAGTGTGGGACATTTAGACTTCCCAGTGGGATTCAGCTAGCATAAAGAAACTAAATCACTGCAGTGGAGGGAGAGGGAAGGCCCTTGAAACGATGACAAGTACCCAGCAGAGAAGAACCAGAGGGCAGGAACAAATGGTGGTTTCAAATGAGGGCTCTGTGCTAAACAGTTGCTGTTCAACCAACTCAAAATGACAGTGTGACAGTGACAGAAAATTTGGTGCTGACGTGATATTACTCAGTAATAAGGAATGCAGGTAGATTGTAAAGGATTACAGAACCTAATGAGCTCAAGCTTTAAAATGACAGATAAAATTGTTTTTATAAAAAGTGAAAAATGATGCACACAAGGGAAAAAGCAATCCTAGCTTTATTGACATAGCAATGGGCTTGGAGCTGACCGCTGGATTCAGGAACACAATCCTAGATAAGATTTTTCATGACAATACCACACTTGGTCCTCATATGCATCCAAAAGCAAATTGAATGTGAGAAACCTAGAGAGGAAACTAAACAGAACACAGGAAACAACATTATATTGTTGTCTGTATCCACTGTGACCCCACATCTCAAATTCACAGTGTTAGTTTATCTCTTCGGTCCCAAAAACTTGGAGAAAAAAAAAAAAAAAAAGGATAAGTACGATCACATGTACAAAACAGCTTCTCTATAAGAACTGACAATGTAGGCCAAGAAGATGACTAAGAATGGATATGACAAAACTCTTTAAAACCATGAGTGCTGTGGAATGGGTGAATAGGGAATAATTTGTTTGCATGACATTCAATACAAGAACTGTGAGCCACCAAAATTAACAAGCGAGTCAAAACAAGTTACAGAGAGGTTCTTCACACATGCAGCAAAGCTCTGAAATTTCTGGCCACAGGACACTATGGGCACAGAGTTACACAGGCTCAAGGAGGAACTGAATTTATGGAACAGGAGTTCATGGAAGCTTATGAAATATAAAAATATGCTCTCTTGCTTGGGAAGTCTGAGATGTAAATTATGGGAGACTGAAAGAATACCCCCGGAAAACTTGCTCTGTCCTTTCCCCTGGGCATCTAATTTTGACAGCTGCCACAGCTGGATGGAGCTAGAGGAACCTTCAGTTTGATCCAGTTTAGGCATTCTTACAAAATAAGGAAGAAACCTCCTCCCCTTTTCTAGCATGTTTCAGTATCTCCATAGGATTTTGTGAAAAAAGTACACACACACAAATAACAAAGTACAAACCTTGCACAATCAGGGATTGTCACTGATGTCCTTAATTAACATACAAATTAATCACATTACATAGTCATTTGCCTAGTGCTTGTTACTTGTGGCAAAAACCTTCCTTAGCACTGACACATACCATAATCTTTCTTCTTCTGGCACTGACTGCTGAAGCTCAAAAGCTACATAATAACCAGCTTCAAAACAAAAAAAAACAAGGTAACAATCCTGTTGCTCTCAAAAGGAATTTGTTAATTACAAGCGACTCTCACAGTGAAGAGTGGTTGATTTAACTTGATTTGCAAAATGTTAAAAGAGTCTTATCCACCAAAAGTAATACACAGCCAAAACACAAGGAGGAGCTATAACCTGACCTACTCTAGTAACCCTAAAGGAGCAATTCGCTGCCACAGCTCTGCCGAGACCGGAAGGAGCTGGTACACATAAAGAGCCACTAAGCCCTTTGCACCTTGACAAACCAAAGGAAGGTCTATTCCTTCAGGTTTCAGAGAAACATGAGGGCAGATCCCTAAGGAGATGCCTACTTTCAGAGTGTTTCTCAATCCAAACATACAGCTGAAACTGTTAAACAGCTTACTACACATCTTCAGCAGTAGGAGCAGGAATATGTGGTTGGCCGTGTCAAAGCTGCAAATGAATTTCTGACAAAGACAATAACCGCAACTGAAGAACAAAAAGCAAGATCAGGAGCATGATTAAGCAGGTGATACAATGGTGCAGAGTTACTAATTTCTTGCAGGACTAGTGTTTTGCGTGGCAGAGCTTCTGCAGAAACACATGACAGTAGGGCAGTTGGTTTTATACCCAGCTTGTTTCTGCATTACAGACACAAAAAGGAAACCCAAGCACCTCAATCACTTTGTTTGCTCTTTTTGCAGAACCCATGCATGTGAGAACAAGCAGGTTTCCTCCACAATGCTCTGGTGGCAGAAACGCCTATGATTTGCTAAAAAACTTGCTGTAGATATGCACTCCTATTCCTCATGCACAGGGGGAGCACTTAGATATTAGAGATTTTATTCTGATCACTCTTGAACTTCTCACAGGAGCTAAGTTTTCATGTTGCGCTTTCCTTTTCTTTGTGCATTTGTCAAGAAAGGAACTGCCATAACAGATAAAGGCAGAAATACTCCAAAAGGAAGATCAGTACATACTTTCCTCCTTTTTCAAAGCAAACAAGCATCACATGCTGCCATCTGCAGTTCAGGGAGCTCCCCAAGAAAACACATATCAACGAGAAAGAAGAAAGAGCAAGCCAGGTAGTTTTTTCCTTTATCACAACTTCCCTGCTCTGACATACCTCTCAGGACCAAATCCAGCAAGGCAATTAGCCACCTGAATTTCTGTGTTGCTTTGATCCTTTATCTCCCCCTATTTCATATCTCTCTCTGCAACACGTTGCCCTCACATGAGAAGGTACCACTCGTATATCAGGCAGGAGCTGTGGCCAAGCAGTAGACCTGGAACTGGGGATCAAAGAGCCTTTCCATGACCTTAGAGAAGTCACTTAGTTTTCCTCATCTCCACAGTGCTCTGCTTACAAGGAAACGGTGCTCAGATAAATGGCAGTAGAGGCTACAAATACCCAAAACCAAGACAGATTCCTCCAAAATGTGCAGCCAAGAGAAAAAAAAAAAAAAAAAAAAATCACAAAAGTGACGCTGATGTTGACAAAACCAGTCACTCAAACACCTCCTCTTTGACAACATTTTCTTACAGCAATTCGTTAGGATTAGGCAAGTTATAAAGACCCACACAGTCCTTCCAATAAATCCCCTTCTGCATGCACATAATTTATAAAAGTACGTTCAGCAAGTCAGACCAAACTGTGGAAGGACCTCAGGGTTCAGCTCTCTTAAAACTGTGCACAAGCTGTGCTCTTCTGCTTTATGAATCCTGCAGAATGTTTTCAGTGAATTACATGATTTTCAAACAAGGATTATACATTAGCCTGGCAGGCTAGGATGGAAAGAAACTAAATCAAGTACAAGAACAGACACAGATACATTACTTTATGCACTCAGGCAAGAAACACCTGCATAGGTAGTGGTATTATGGGAAACTACTGCTGCAGAAGAATGTTTTCTGCTTCATTTGTCAAACAAACAAAAATATATTGCAGCTCCAGACCTCTTCCCCATACTATAAAAACTGAATTGCAGCTCCAGAAAATAAACATTTCTGCCAACTATCCGAATGTATATTGCACTGCTACCTGGTGTGGCTGTCAGCTTGTTAACCAAGTCCATCAGCTCTCAGCCTCTGTGAAGAAAAAGCAGAGTGAAACCACTAATCATGACTCCATCACTAAGGTTATGCCCAAAGTCCTATTACACAGATTAGTTTGACTTGTACTCCACTGACAAGAGACCCATTGTTCTGACACGTTTAAAATGCTGGAGTGTCAACCAAAGTTTACAGTAAGTGCTTTTTACTGTGTGAAAAAAAAATTCTTCCAAAATGACAAACAAGAGCCATTTGCAGAATTTTATAGCCACTGGCTGGCAGGTTTCAATGGGGTTTCTGGTTCCTTTTTGCAAGAATGCAATAGTTCCTACATTTTAAAACATCAGACTGTGTGGACTTTCTTTTTATATGTAATTTTTCAAATATTTTATTTTCTGCTAGCTAGGCAATAAAATACATCAACCATTTGAAAACATGGCGCAGAAAGTTCTTCTGAACAATATCACATCACACCCATAACAAGGGAATGACTAGTAGCTGTTCCATTCAAAGAAAACTTCAATCTCCTCTAAAATTCACCTATATGACAAGATCAGCTCAGACACTGACTAGTGAAAACAATTCACTTGAAACAGAAATACACGCTGGGGTGCAACTTCAAAAGTCACTTGATAAAAAGGACTTCCCAGATCAAGGAAAAATTCCTGGAAAAATCTGTCCTTTTCCATGGGCAAAATCTGTAAGAACATTCTCTCCTTGCAGTGCACTGCTCTTTCCTAGCATCACACAACTGCAAGTGGTCCAATCTAGCATGCAGTCCTTGAAATGTAGGTCTCACTCTACAGAGTAGTAAGGAGAACCACTGTGACCCCAACAACACACACAGGCTACAGGCCGAAGTTCAGTGTTTCATCTGGAAGAAGAAAGGGTACAAGACCATTCGCGTGCGGCTTCTCTTTTCCAGAAAGCTGCTCCTACGCACACAGTAACCCTTACACCAAAGGAGTCTTCACAGCCTTCCTCTGAGATCTGGTAACCGCTGCTCTCCCTGTTTTAGCTAAGATAACTGAGGGGTTGTTCAAAAACAGCAAAGAAAGTGAAGTCTGATCCACGGACTAAATCACTGGACTTGAATTAGAGGAATCCGTTTCAATTCTTTGCTGTGCAACAGGATCCTGTACAAACCTGAGAGTTAGTTAGTCCCTGTGCCAAAGGTTTCCACTTCATTTGCATGAAATAAATACACAAGAGACCACAAGTGCTCCAGAGCAGGAACAGAGAAGAAAGGCAGTAAAATATTGATCGTGTTAGCAGCAGACAACTCATTCCCTTGGCCAAACAAAGGTAATTAGTGTAATTTGAGAAACAGTATGCCTCTCCAACCTGAATTTCAGCTTTAATCACCAGGTTGTGACTAAACAAGTTTCTTAAAAATCAGATCAGCAGTTCTGAGTAGAACCGCACATTCCTACCTCACAATCTACCAGCAGAGGCTGGATTTGTTCTGTCTAGGGTCAGCAACCTGTCACACACACATGGAAGTCCTGTCTCAAAATGCTACAGGCAATTGGCATGGGAGCAGCCAGGATTCGAGGAAGTTGCACTCATGCAGGACCATCTCCACAAAGCTGTAGGAGATGGACAATAAATTGACTTACCATACACAGCAGATTGTGGATGAGCGGAAAAGCAAAAACAGCCAAATGAAAAATAGCAGTCCTGTGAGTAACACAGAACCATGCTGATTTCCTGCTGATCTACCAGCAAAACTATGCTGGTTTTGCTCCACACTCCACAACGCTTAGCCTTTTTTAACTCCATTTACAGAGCCATCAGATTCCCAGCTCTTCAGGGACTTAAACAATGTTGTTTAGGTTTTTTTGCTGTCAAGGGCAAAAGTGGAATTTAAGTCGTTTTGGTCTGAGAAGACCTTTATCCATCACAGAAAATCCCATTCTCAAAACGTCCTCTGACAATGAAAGGGCTGTAGATAGACATATATCAAGAGAGAAGTCCGGGGAGTAGTATTGTACTTGGAATAACATACATTTAAGTAGTGAATAGTGCTCTGTCACTGTGAGAAGCCAACCTGTATCCAGCTTCTCTCTGGATTAGTGGCCCTGTCCACAGAGATACTCATGGTCCCTCTAAAATAATCACATGCACTTTTTGTTATGTCTAGAACTTCAATCCAAAACACTTATGTATGGTCCATATGCTATAATTCATGGCCCTGACGCAGGACTTGGTAGATTAACCACAGAATCATGCATCATGTGTGGAATGGGGAAAGAAGGAATCAAAGGAAAAACAAATCTACTTCTGTAATAAGGTCACTTCAGAGATTTACCTGCAGTGAAATGTCAAAGAAAAGTAAGAAGCCCTAGCAGGCACAAGAACATCCCTGTTTCCTGGACAAAGCAAACCAAAGAGGAGTAAACCTGCCTGCACAGCTGTGATACAACAGTAAGTTGGTGGCACATGTTTTCAAAATGGAGCATTCCTGACAGGGAGCAAAGAACGAAAGAAAAGGTGCTACAAAACCAGTCCCAGTACCTCCCTGGGACAGGCAGAAATCACACAGTCAGCCAGACTGACTAGGTTACCTATGGCATCAACCTCTGTCCACTTGCCTCCGTGGATTTGTTTCAGAAGAGCGTAGAGCAGCCTCCAGAAATCCAGGCTCTGCCAAAGAAAGAGAGGGGTGGGGGGAGATCAGCAGGCAAAACATCTACCATATATTTAGTCTTAATTAGGCAATTAAACCCATATCTGAGCATCAGTTCCTACATGGAAGAGCACACCTGAATCATGCCAACACTGTCGAACGAGGCAGGTTCACATATTAGTCGCCTTAGGAACTCTACCTACAGTAAGGTGCACTCAGGAAGAGAAGGGCTACTGATGCTGGCTGCACAGCAAGACCCAGCCCTTCTACATGCATACAGGAGCACAGCTTCCAAAATATCTGCTCTGATATAACCACATATGGCACAACCCGCCCATAGCCGAACAAGCTCTTGAGGACACTGCAAAGATCTGACTGTGATAGTATCAAAAACTCCCAAACAAGAGGCAGCACATGACGAGTAGAAACTAGAAATCATTTCTTGGCCACACAAGGACAGCACGCTAAGAAACCGAAACAGTGATTCTTACAGTTGGAATTTCAGTCAACACTCGTAAAATGCTTAAAATAGTTAACTGAGCAAGTGGCGCGCCCCGTGCAGGAGCTGGAGGCCTCGCAAGCATCGCCCTGCAAAGCAGAAAGACCCAAGCCGGTGTACAGTGAAGGGAAGCACACCTCAGGTGACGCTACAGAGGTGTTGCGGACCACCCTGAAACGCCAAGCTTTAAGTTAAAACCACAATAAGACAAAGCCCTTCCCAGAGCGGCGAGCTTGGAGGGAGGCGCCGAACGCACGGCCGGCTGGGGCGCCCACAGCTGCCCCTCTCCCCGTCCCCTCCCACCCGGGACCCGGCCCCGCACGGGGGCCCCTGCCCGCCCACAGAGATATTCCCCCAACACGAAGGGGGGGGGGATCGCTAAGCAACAGCGGGGGCCGCCGGCGCTCACCGCCTGCGGCCGGTCGAACCTGGCGCGGCGGAGGGTATCAGGGGCGGGCCGGGAGCGGGGCGGCAGGGCCCGGCACAGAGCCCCGACGGCTCCCGGCAGCGGCCATTCCCGCCCCGGCTGCTGCCGCCGCATCGCGCTCCGCCACAGCCGCTTCCCGCCCTCTGCGGGCGCATGCGCAGTGCGGCGGGGCGCCACCCCCCCCGCCTTCCCGCTGAGCCCGCCCGCTGCGGCGCCCCCTGGCCGCCGGGAGGGAGCACTGCGCCGCGTGGGCACGTCACGCGTGGCCCGCCCCCCCCCCCCCCCAGCCTCTGTCCCTGGTTTCTTATAGCTGGCTGATCCTCCCGTTGCTTCTTCTCCCTGTGCCTCAGAGCAGAAAACATGCTTCTTGCCTCCCGTGGGGAATGACCTGAGCAAAAAACGCCCCGGGGGATGGGGATGACCACGTGCAGGTCACCCCATGCGAGGTGTGGCAGGCTCACCCTGATCCACGGCTGCGTCTCCTGCCCAGCCAAAAACCCCGTGTGAGTGCTGCAAGCTTCCCCCTACCCTTCCTGGCTGTAAGAGTTACCGCAAAACCTCGCTTCAGCTTCATCTGAAAATACGGCTCAGTTGCTGTCAGACCACGAAATCATTTCTCGGCTGATGGGAGAGCACACAGTTTTAGCAGCAGGGGATCGGCTGCAATCCCCATCTTCCCACCTTCCTCTCAGTTCCGCAGAGGTGATGCAGGTGGCTCGGGTCCCCAGGCATACGAACTCTTAATGGGAGCAATCCCAGAGATTAATCCTGGAGGAGGGCGGCGGTGGAAAAGCAGGCCTGCTGTTTGGGAGGCAGCCTGAGTCACCTCTTGGTTGGGGTTTACACTGCCCTGAGACAGATTCCCACTGCGGTCAGTACAGAGGGACAGCAACTGGTGTGTGCCGGGGAGACTGGTCTGCTCCACCAGCACAGTGGGGATCCTGCCTGTGACTATACATAAGACCTGCTCGAAACCTCCACTGATGTTGTTTTGGCCAATTACCCAGTTCATAACCCATTTAATGTGCTATCTAAAATGATGCTTTTCCCTTTATTTTCCCCAACATCTGAACTCCATGAAGCAACACATGAAATTCCTTCTGGTATGGAATGGCCTCTTGCAGCCAAACGGCTGCTCACAATGAGGAGAGAAATCGCACTGGTCCAACGAGACCTTCGGCAAAACCACTCTTGCTAATGTGAACTGCATTTGCACTCTTTCCCTCTGGTTGCTGCCTCTCCTGCCCCCCACCCCCGTGCTGGGGAGCACGGCCCTTCCCGACGCCGAGTGCTGCATTAGTGTTCTCCCAGTCCCGCGGATCCTGGCTGCTGCTCCAGCCGGCCCTGAAAGGACCCCTGGGTTTGAGTTATCCAGGCTTAAGGATTTTTAAAATATCTTCTCTAGCAGCTGTTGTCTCACATCCTCCTTTGTTCCTAACGGCCTGGAAACCATTTTCCTTATCCCTCATCCAGCTTTAGCTCAGCAATCTCTATCCAATTCTTTGCTCTCCATCCTAACAGGTTTGGCATCTCAACACAGTTCTATGCCTTTGGTTCCCGACAGCCCACAAAGTCCTTTTTTATTGCTCAGAGTCTTATCGGACCTGGATAATCCTCTGCTGTCTTTGGCATCCTTCTCAACTTTCCATACCTTGCTGCTATCGGACTCTGTCTGGTCCCTCCATGACACATCGCTTGTCTATTTTCCTGTCCCCGCTGCAGTCTCTGGGCAGGAGGACCTTCAGCTGGAGCCAATTTCCTGTGTTTTCTTGACCACTCCATAAACCCCGCTCAAAGCCATCCCTGTCCCCACACACATTCCTCTGTCTAGGCCTTTCTTCCCCAGGGCAGCTGCCTGCTTTGCCGCTGCTGAGACAAGGGTTCTCCTGCAGCATCATGCACACACCAGTGGGTGGTCCTGCCCATCACCCCTTCTCTGGGCTCCTGTCCCCTGGGCCAAAATGCCAAACCCTAGCCAGCGAGCATCATCACCCATCGCAGGAGCGGCAGCTGGGGCGCACGCCACCCCAACACGCCAAGTGCCCCCATGCCGCCTCTCCATCCTGCCCCATCTCCAGCCCCACGGCGCCCTGGAGCCGGGCTGGCCGCCGTCCCGGCCAGTGGCCCCCGGTCCCTGTCCCCACGGCTCCCCCGGCACGCAGCTCCATGGGCGCAGCTGACACAAGACGCCTGGCGCTGCCGGGGGGTTGGCACCCAGCCACGGGCGAGTCGGACGCCAGGCGACAAATCCCAGCCTCTCCGGCGCGGCACAGCATGGCGGGGGGCTCAGTCCCGGCCTGCGAGGCCCCACTTATCTGCTCTGCCGGCTGCCTGGGCGGTTTTCCCAGGGTGGGAGAAGCCAATGGTTTCCTGCTGCAGGGACGGTCCTTGTGCTGTGGACAGATGAAGGAGGTGACGGAGTGACACCCCCCGGCGCGCTGTCTCGGGAGGGATGGCGATGCCACCCCCTGGGAGCAGAGCCCCTGCCCCGCTGCATCCAGGCCACCCTCACCTCCCCCGTCCCCAGCCCTGGTCTGGCGGGGACCCACAGAGGCAAACAAGCAATGGCTGGCGTGATGTCAGCACACCACACTGATGTCACCGCGTGCGGGAGGCCACAGGAGATGGGTGGGAGCCTCCTGGATCCTCCGTATGGCAGGGGGGAAGCGGGACGGAGCTGGCTCATCAGCTGCTCCTCTGGGCCCCCCCAGCTCTGCCCGGCACCGCGGCAGTTTTGGGAGGAGCCGAGCTGCGGGGTGCCCCAGCGGCGAGCGTGGCGGTGGGGACCCCAATGGGAAGGGACGTCCCGGGTGGATAGCGAGAGGCCGGGGATGGTCCCGCTGGGGAGAGGCCACCGGGCTTCGCCCTCTCGGTTCCCGGGGCTCACGTGGTGCGGCGAGCCCGCCGTTCGGCACCGTGTGTCAGCTGGGGACATTTCCGCCCCGGGTGACTCAGCCGGGGCCGAGGGCGCCTGTTTGCACCCACGCCATGGCAACCCGCCGCCGCGGACCGCTGTTTGCGGCCGTTGCCAGAGATGACGGCCGCGTCCCATTGCCTCATGCAGATCGTATGCGATAACGGCGATCTCCGTTCACGCCGGCAGCAGCACAGCTTCCTGATATCACCTCAGTCTGCCCTGCCAAGGGGAAGGTGTGAGCTCTCCTCCTGGAAAAACAACTCCTTTACTCTCTTTTTTTTTTTTTTTTTTTTTTTTTTTAAATGCTTTTATCCCCATGAAGGTGCAAGCAGGAGCCAGCCTGTCTCTCAGCCAGGTCCCCAGGCTGCACATCGGTGCTTCCCACGCTCCACCGCCAGCTCGGGGCAGCCGGAGCTCCTCTCCACGCTCCTCTCCGCTCCTCCCTGCAGCAGCGGCGGTGGCTGAACAACAGGCATCAGAGCAGAGAGCAGCTGCTCTCCCTGCCTGTGCAAGGGAGGCTTTGGGCAGCCGTAGCAATTCACACCCTGAGCAGATCCAGCAGGCTGCACCGTTTCCGATCGCAAATGTTTCCAGCTCCTTCCCAACACTCTCCTGGCTCTTTTATACATGCACTCTCCCCCCTCAATGGGATGCTGCGTTAACCCGAGTTGGAAAAGGCACGGCTAGACAGCAGGGAAAACATCACGCCAGGAAGAAGGAGCAGGGCAGCACGGGGGCTGTGAACACAGGCTGCCCGCGCTGCTGGGCTGATCCTGCAGCGATGCTTGACCCCAGGCAAGAGTCAGGGATCACAGCTCCCACTGGGAAGGAGCAGCCCCAGCATCTGCTGCTGCTGCTGACCCGTTGTGGGCTCGTGTCTCCATCAGCCGAGCAGCCCTCCCTGGCTGGGGAGAGGATGGTGCTTTTCAAACTGGCCGCCCTGGGATCTCTGCTGATGGAGTCCAGCCCTCAGCATGCTCAGAGCAGCCACGTCAGGTTGCAAACAGGCATCTCCTTGCCAAAGAGCAACGAGCTGCCTTCTGGCACCATCCTCACCGGTGGGTGCAAGAGGTGCTGATATTGCTGGCATGGCCAGCACATGTTTAGCATGTCACGTAACAGTTACAGATCACCGGGTCCCCGAGAGGGACCATAACAGCGACACAAATCCTCTAGTGCAGATTTTCCTGAGCACAGTGAATTAGTCTGCATCAGGCCTGCATGGGCTGTAGCGCCAAAATTCAAGCTCCTCTCAGTTGGATGAATATGATAGGCATTGGCATTTCAAGCCCTCTGATGCAGGGTCTGCACTTTCAGTATGATAAGTGAATTGGGAAGGATTAGGAAAAAAAGAGATCTGAGACCTCGCAATTCTCTGTTCTTAGGGGTTTCACCCTTTCCTTTTTGCTGAAATAGCCAAGTTGACATTCCTCTGCATCAAGGGAAACTCCCTCTGCCTTCTTCCCCTCCTGGGCTTTTAACACAAGGCTCACCAAAGAGGGAGGCTTTGGTGGGAAGCTCTTACACCCTTCCCTCTTGAAACCCTCCCTGTTTCCTTGAAAATAACACAAGAGGCATGAAAGTCAAATGCAGCTCTAGTGCCTGATGCCAGCTTTTCTTCTTGGGTTCCCTGCTGGGGAAGGTCACCCAGGACCTGGCAAATGTTGCCAGGGCTCTTCGCACCCAGCTCCTCTGCAACACCAACACTGGATCATCAGCACCAGGGACGGGTGATGGTGGAGCAGCCTGTCCCCTCCCCTCCTTCCTCCCTGGTTATACCTCACTCTCCAGTACCATGATTCATGGTCCCATCCACTACTTGATACACCCCTGGCCCTCTCCCTTTCCCACAGCCCCTCTCCCTTCAGTATCTTCAGCAGCCTCACTATTTGCTGGAGATGTTGTTCCCCATCAGAAACAGGTTTTGACCCCCTTTTTGCCACCCCTGAAAAGTTGTTTCCGCTGGTGGGACGGGGCTTCCCCAACTCACTGCTTTGCAGAGCTGGGCTGGGAAGTCCCGTCTCACCACATGAGCTTGCAGAGCTCCTGCCGCCCAACATCAGCTGCACGGTCCCTCTTACCGTTGCCCAGACAAGAAGGAGATTTCTGAGGTGTTAGGAGATGGGCAAACACTTCCTCGACCTGAAAAATATCGAAGCTCTTTGACCTTAATACAAATCAGTCTTTAAAATACCCAAAGCGGTGGTGAACTGGGTACCAG